GTTGGCTGGTGGATTCTTTGCGGCCGCGCCAACCCAAGCGCGCGCGCACGCAGCGGCCAGCTAGTTTGGCGCGACCGACGCGGCCGCGGTGGCGCTGACTTGGGCGGGCGCGGTACCATGGCAACGCCGACAGTGGTAGACACGATGATGATAGCAGCGATGCTGGTGACGACGTTGACAACGACGAATGCGCGGCCAGCGCGGGCGCCGATGCTGATCGCGCCGACGACGATGACGGCGTCTTCGCGTCGGTGACGAAGGTCATGGAAGAGAGTTCGACATGCTCGCGCGGCGGACGCGCGAGAGTGGCCCGCAGGGTATTATTTGACACGGGTCGTGCTCCCCCCCCCCCCCCGGCACGCGCGCAAGGGCGTGCGAATGATGTCGGCATGCGGCGCGAGAGGCCCGTTCGGCTGAATTCAATGAAGCGGATGGAACAAACTATGGTTTTTCAAGAATTCGCAAAAGCGCGAACGCACGTTTTTGATATGAAAACTCCTGTTGCGAAGCCATGTGTGTATGTTGTTTGGACTCTCGATTTTGACATCGTTACGAAACCGACGGTTTCTGACGGACGTCGTCATGCGCGCGCGTTGTCGCGTTCGCGAGCATGTCGCCACATTTGTTGGACAACGGTTATCGCGACGACAAGCTCGCAAGGGCGTTCGAACGATTTCGATATTCGCACGCGAAGCCCGTTTTCTAGCATTGGGGGGGGGGCTTATCAAGAATTCGCAAGAACGTACGCACAAGTTGTTTTGGAACTCCGTGTTGCGAAACTTTGTGGTTAAACATGCTGTTTGGATACTCGATATTGAAGACCCTGCGACACCGAAGGTTTTTGACATATTCCGGCACGCGCGGGCGACGACGCGCGCGTGCGCACGTCGTCTAATTTGGTGCAGTGCGCGCATAGCATCTATTGCAGGGGATGACGGGGGGCGCGGGCAAGACCCGTTGGGTTGGGACGGTACGAGTTCTTATTCAGGATGGACGTGAGCAGAATCACATGCAGCTTGCAATGCGTAGAAGAGGGGAAGGGATAACACCTGGGGGGTAGAGTTTGCTTCCATTGTAGAAAGGGAAATCGATGTGATGTATGTATGTACGTATGTGTGTATGCAGGTTTGTACAACACACATATATATGTGTAATCATGTATGTACGTATGTATGTATGTGTGTATGCACATCTGCAACTAACGCATTGCAACCTATGTGATCTATGTGGTGCAACATTGGTTGTGCAATCTATGTGGTACAATATATGCCGTGCGATATGTTGTGCAATCTATGTTGTGCAATCTAGGCGGCCGCGGGGCGTCGATTGCGGCACCATATCCGCCAGAGCGGTACACCCGCCCAGTCGACGAGGCGGCGACGAGGCGGCGACGGGTCGGCGACGGCGGCAACATAGCCGCCAGAGTGGCACACCCGCCCAGACGACAAGACGGCGACGAGGCGGCGACGGGTCGGCGACGGCGGCAATATAGCCGCCAGAGTGGCACACCCGCCCAGACGACGAGGCGGCGACGAGGCGGTCGGCGACGGCGGCAACATACGTCTGGTCCGCCATTCGGGGGCAGCCCGAGCGATTTTGCGGGTAAGCATTTCTGCAAGACAACGGTCGGAATGACACGTAATGACACAGCTAGCATGTCAGTCAGACAGGCTGCCGACAAGGCAGCTTAGAAGGGCATGGTTCCCTGGTCGCGGGCGCGGGTCTCCAGCGCGAGATGCGGGCTCCTGGTCATGAGCGCGGGTCGCGGGCGCTGGTCGTGAGCGCGGGTCGGTCGTTAGCGTTGGTCGCGAGCGCGGGTCGATGGCGCGAGTCGCGGGCGCGGGTGGCAGTCGCGGGTCGCATGTCGCGGGTCGCATTTGCTTCCTTGTTCGAGGCAGCCCGCGAAGCAGCCAACCAGGTAACCAATCAGGGAGCCGACGAGGCAGCCAACCAGGCAGCCAGCTAGGCAGCCAACCAGGCAGCATACCATGCAGCCAATGATGCAGCCGACGAGGCAGCCAAGCAGGCAGCCAGCCAGGCAGCCAACCAGGCAGCATACCATGCAGCCAATGATGCAGCCGACCTGGCCGCCACCCGGCAAGAGCGGGCACGTTTCGCAGGAAACCAGTCATTGAGGCAGCCACCAAATGCGCGCATCGGTTGTCGCGGGCGCGGTCTCCAGCGTGGGTGGCCGATCTTGGTCGCGAGCTCTGGTCGCGGACGCCGGTCGCGTGCGCGGGTCGCTGGTGCGAGTCGCGGGCGCGGGTCGTACGCACCTTGCTCGGGTCACCTCGGCCCGAGTGAGCACGGCCAGCTCTGCCCAGGGTGCCGCGGACAGGGGGGCGGGGTGGGGGCATTTGATTTCTGGAACCTTGCGCTGCCAAGTGCGCCAGGTGCGCTGGGTTCACCAAGTGCCAGGAGCCCCAGTGCGCGGCTTTGCCAGATATGCCAAGTGCGCCAGGTTCGCGATTTGCGCCTCGCCCCGCCCTTCTCCCATCTCTTGCCAGCGCGTGGACTCGCGCTCGCGCGGCGGCCGCCCGAGTCGTCCCGCGCAGCATTTTTGATGTATCACTCGTATCACTCGTCCCATCACTCATTGTGTTTCATGTATCGCTCGCATCATTCGTTAAAAAGAAGACCGTATTAGAGTAAGTATTTCTCGTTCGACGCGCGATACGAGTAATATGTAACAAATACGGAGCGATAGGACGAGTGCTGCGAATGGTATGTAACAAAACAAGGTAGGATGCACGGGGTTCCGCCTGCGGTGCCCAGGGCCGCTGGGGTGGGGGCGCTTGACAAAACTATACGCAGCCGCTTTGGCCCTGCCTGCTTCGGCGCCCGAACGGAGCAGCTTCGCGGTGTGCGTGTGTACCCAGCCAGACAACACGGAGGAACCCCACGGATGGTTCGGTCGAGGTAACGTCCCCCGCCCACCGTGTTTTGTCGAGCCACGCCGAAGTTTGGAGCCACCGTGTCGTCTGAACGCCGATTGCTTCGCATTGTCCCCACCAGCCCATCCATCAACGATACCCAGGCGACCCGTGGGCAGTTCTGGAGTCCCACCCACGCCAGAGTCTGGAGCCACCGTGCCGTCTGAACGCCGAATGCTTCGCGTTATCCCCACCAGCCCATCCATCAGCGATACCCAGGCGACCCGTCGGCAGTTCTGGGGTATCCGGGCCTTCTCCTCCACCCTCCGTTCCAATCCTAACCATTCCTCCGCCCTCCTCCGCACTCCTCCGCATTCCTCCGCACCGCTCCGCACTCCTCATCTTTCCCGCTCCTCCAATCCTCCGCACTCCTCCGCCCTCCCAGCACTCCTCTGCACTCCTCCACTCCTCCCACTCCTCCACTCCTCCGCACTCCTTCCCCAGCCCAGTCCACCCCTCTACACTCCTCCGCCATCCTCCGCACTATTCCGCATTCCTCCCCACCTATTCCCACTCTTCCACTCCTCTGCATTTCTCCGCCCTCCTCTGCACTCCTCCCCATCGCAGTCCACCACTCTGCATTCCTCCGCCCTCCTCCGCACTCTTCCATCTTCGTCCGCATTCCTCACATGTTTCCCTATTCTTCCACCGTCCATTCCATTCCTAACCACTCCCCCTCCCTCCTCCGCAATCCACCGCACCCCTCCCCATCGATTCCCGCTCTTCCCCTCTCCTCCTCCTTCCCTCTTCTCCACCTTCCGTTCCGATCCTGACCATTCTTCCGCCCTCTTCCGCACTCCTCCCCATGCATGCCCGTTCCTCCACACACCTCTGCACTCCTCCGCGATCCTCCGCATTTCGTCCGCACTCCACTGTACTCCTCGTCCGCATTCTTCCGTACTCCTCCCCGTCGATTCCCGCTCCACCCCAGACCAGTCCACTCCTCCACTCTCCTCCGCACTTCTCGCTTCTCCCCCTCATCCCTCCTCTCGTCTACTCCTTCTCCTATCTCTTGCATTTCGTCCGCACTCCACTGTACTCCTCGTCCGCATTCTTCCGTACTCCTCCCCGTCGATTCCCGCTCCACCCCAGACCAGTCCACTCCTCCACTCTCCTCCGCACTTCTCGCTTCTCCCCCTCATCCCTCCTCTCGTCTACTCCTTCTCCTATCTCTTGCAGCCCGGGCAATTAGAAATTAGAGTAGAGCCACGTGCCAGGTGACATACCCACAGGCCTCGGAAACAAAGTAGCGAACACTCATGCCACATTCATCTGTCAACGCCTCCCCCTCCCCCCTATGTTCAAAGTTGGCGGTGAGTCTGATGAGTTGCACCCCGACCGCACTCTCCCCCGCGCGTGCCAACTTTGAGTTTGGGGGGCAGGGGGGGTGTTTACTAATTGTTTCCCTTTACCGTAGCCGCCAGAGTGGCACACCCACCCAGACGACGGGCGGCGACTAGGCGGGGCGGCGGGGCGGCGACGGCGGCAACACAGCCGCCAGAGCGGCACACCAGCCCAATTCCTGAGAACAGAAGTAGGAGCCCCATATATGCAAGCATTTTGGGGGGGACTCCATAATTCTGGGGCTCTCATTACTCAAACCCCCGACGGCATGATTTGTGTTCCATAACGTCGACCCTCAGATGTCTCAAGCCACTCCTTGGGATCAGTCTTTCATCCCGAGTAGTAATTTGACGGTCCCTGTGCTCAGCAAACGGCCCCAGAGGTTGAAACGAGAGAAGAACCTTCCGTCGTGACTCTTTCACGACTCGAGGGGGTCTGGGGTACCAATATCGACACTGGCGTTTTTGCGTTCCGTCCTGGTCGTGGCCCTTTTTGTTTGCCCCTGGCCAATCGTCGTCACCCCAACGTACTTTACTACATGTGCAGTCGCCCCCCCCCTGCCATCCTCTGCAGGGGGAGCGACTTGCGCACCGAGAAATCTCACAGCATGTTCGCCGTGGCGGGCGCTCTCTGGCCACACCGCTCGGGAAACGATATGCCACAAGATGGGCAAACTAGTTGTATGTTCGGGGCAGACGCGCGCCTCGGTGCGACCCCGCCAAGGCCGCCGTGCTGCGCCGCGGCGGCGGGCGTGTGCGGGCTCGGCGTGCCCCTCACGCAGATCCACGCCGGCCGGCCGGGCCAGGGCCTCCCAGAGTTTGCCAGCTCGGATGGGGAGCCGGTCGAGACAGCGGCGGCCTTCGGGGCTCGCGTCATCCAGACATGCAACGTCCTGAGAGAGAATGGGGGGTTGATGTGATTCGGCATGTTTTGCCTCCGCGGGCCTTTCCAGGCCTCCGGGACCGTTCAACAATGGGCTGTGACGAAGAACTGGCCTTGTAGGGAAAGGGTCGGGGCTTCGGGGACCGCGTGATGGAAAAATCAGGACATCGCGTGTCTGGGTAACGGGGGGTCAACGCTGCTAGCGGGGGTCAGCGAATCTCCTCTGGCTGAACCGGGTTGGGGAGCCACGTGGGGCCGATCCCCCTTGTCTGCCCTCCGCTGACCTGGGCTTGGAGCCAAGCCGGGCTTCGCGACGGGGCCCTAGCCGACCAGGGTTTGTGCTGACCCAGGTGAGTGCGTCCCCGACCCCCACCCCCCTCCAGACCCCCGAGAACTGGGCGCTGCAATTGTTGCACACCGAGCGCTTCTGTCCAGTTTCGGTCCCCGGGACCCTGACAGATCGACCCGGATTCCGAGAAACACCGCAGAAGCATGGGGTCTAGGGCTCGGGTCGTGATTTTGCGGCGTCGGATCTCAGGGATCTCTGACGATATGAGTTGTTCAGTCTGGGCGTTTCTCCTAGATGTCGGCCTCTGGAGTGCGTTCTCGGGCTCCGCAGGGCCACCAACAGAAGTGTTTTTTGCACACAACTGCCGGGGGAGGGTCAGGGGCGCGGGCTGAGAGAATCACATACCACTGGAGGATTTGCGGGTTCCTTTCAGCTACTCGCTTTTGGTTGGGCCTCCTGAAGGCTTCTCGTCGCCACGGCTGAGCCTTTTCAGCCCAGCGCTGCCGAAATGGCGGCGGAAGGGGAGAGAGGGAAAGGCACTGCAGATGGATTTGCCAGACTCCACATAAGAAAAACCCTCCTGGCCGCCTGCGGGCCTGGCAGGAGAGCCGCGCTGTCCCCGAAACTCGACGTTGCCAAGAGATGGCGACATCCCAAAATCCACGCCCAGAGTTCTAGACCCTATATTTTTCTGCGTCATTGTTCTTGCCGCGTCGATCTGTGAGGGTCCTGGGGGCCGAGCCAGGACGCAGACGCCCGGTGCGCGACAGTTGCCACGCCCAGAGCTCCGGGGAGAGCTGCGCCGTGGTCTCCATTGGCCCTCCTCCGACCAGCGGGGACGGCTTCCCCTGCATCGCCTCCAGGGCGCCTCCAGGGCCGCATCCGCCCGGCCCCGAGCACGCGGGCGGGGGCGCGGGCGGCGTGGGCTGGCCGCAGAGGGTCGTGCTGCTCTCCGCCGCCGCCGCGCTCCTGGTCGCCGGCCTGCTGCGGGTGGGCCGAGCGCCGAGGCAGGCCGCCCAAGACTCCGACAGATGCGGTGGTTTCAAGGGAGGCGTTGGAGCCCTCCCTGAGATCCTGGCGTCGCAACTCGTCGAGCCGGGCGAGTTCGCCCTGTTTCGGGCTTCGGGGCGCCTCACAGATCGATGCGTCTCGAAAAATGGCGCAGAAAGATTGGGTCTAGGGCTCTGGTCGCGAATGTTTGTGAGATTTCAATGTTGTTCGCGCCGTCGTAGCTCATGGCTTTTCGCACCGGGCGTTTGCGCCCAGTTTCGGGCCCAGGGGCCTTCATATATCGGTCCAGCTCGATAAATGCCGTAGGAAGACCGAGTCTACAGGGTTTGGGTTGCGATGTTTCACAATGTTGTCATGTTCTGCATCGGTGTGATTTGTTCAATCTGGATGTTTGCTCCGACTTCGGCCTCCGCGGGTGCCGTTCTCGGGCCCTGGGGCCACCAAGCATGGATCTTGGGCGCACACCACTGCTCGGGAAGGGGGCCGGGGATGCTCTGGGGCCGCGAATCAGTGATCAGTTCAAATGGGCAGATCGGGGGATGTCTGATGTCTGGGTGCACGCAAGTCAAGCAGTGGCGAAGCCTCCTTCCTCGCTTAGAGGCCCATCAAACAATGTTCTAAGAGTTTTCTGCGGATAACGCGAATTGCGTTTCGCATGTATCTATGTGAGACCTTCTTGTTTAAAAACATCGGCTTCACGTTCTGAGAACATGGTTTCTGTGATTCGAGCATTTTTTGTTATTTGGCAATTTCGCTGTAGGCCTATTGGAATGTTGGGACGGTCGGTCCCTGCTCGAGTGCCTCTTCGCTGGGGGAGATCTTTGGTGCTCGGCTTTCGGGGTCGCGGCGCGGAGGGGCCACGCCCGTGCACGAGGGCTGCTGGCTACTGTTGTCGCATCGCGTGCAGCGACCAGTTCGGTACGATCGACATGGGTACGGAAGAAATGGGTGCGAAGACCGACAGGAGTTCTCACTCATTTTGAACAGGTCAGTGCCGCCGCAGGCCTTGTCGTTTTGAGTCAGAAGGCCGCCTGCCCAACAGCGGGCGCTATCGGTGTTGAACAGCATTCGTTGTTGGTGGGCCTCGTGCCCATGCTTGCCGTGCCCATTTCGGGCGCCCAAGCCAGTGAGCCGTGCAGCACGGGTCCCCCGCGCTTGGGAGACACTTTTGCGTACAACCCGACGAGGCACGCCGCGCTCGTGTGCCTGGGGGCTGGCATCCTGCCGCAGAAGGTGACGAGCCTTCTGGCAATTCGCGTCGGGCTGTGAGCCCCGCGGCGCGGTGATTGCCCGCGCCCGTGAGCACGCTGCATGCTCGGTCGCTTCTTGGGGCCCCTGGGGAGTTTCCGCATGACTCTAGGCCTCCTGGATGGGGTCGGAGTAGATGGGGTCGGAGGATCGCGCCGCATCGCCGATGCATCGGCGATGCGGCGCGATGCGGAGCACGAGTTTCTCCACGCCGGCGTCGCCGATGCATCGCCGGCGTCACGCTGGGCCCCCCCTGGCGGCGCCTCCGGCGCCGCCCCCGGCGCGCTCCGCGCGCTAGGGAGGGGGTCCAGCGCAGACCCAAGAAATCCGCGCGGAGCACCAACAGTTTATGTTGATGGCGTTTTCTCTTCTTCTACAGAAGTATGCGCAGATTTTCGGCGGCTGCGCTTGCAGACGGAATTGTAGTCGACTTGCAGAGTCCCTTTGGCTGCCCGTGCCGAAGGCTTTCGTCCCCGGAGGGGTCAGGCCGGCGCTCGTGCCGCGGTCGCCCGATGCCGCAAGCGGGCGCCGCAGAGCGTGGCGAGGCCCTCTGCGGTCCTCGGGCAGCGCAGACAAAAAGCGGATCATCAAATCGGAATCGGAGTCGATCGACGTCGAGTCGAGGCGGGCCCGCGTTGGGGTGGCCGCCGCGTCCGCGCGCGCGGCGCAGGCTTGCCGCGACGCGGGCCTGCCGCGTGTACCGAGAGTGCCCCGGGTGACCATCCTCAGAAGCGAGACGTCTCGGCCGAACGAGCGGGAGCCTTGCGCAGGACGGCGCGCGCAGGCTTCATGTCCCTCCTCATCCTCCTCCTCCTACTCCAACCTCCTCCTCCTCGATACTCCTCCTACTCCTCCGCCTCCTCCTCCTCCTCTCCTCCTCCCTGCTCCTCCTCCTCCCTCCTCCTCCTCCTCCTCCTCCTCCTCCTCCTCCTCCTCCTCCTCCTCCGCATCATCATCATCATCATCATCATCATCATCATCATCATCATCATCATCATCATCATCATCATCATCATCATCATCATCATCATCATCATCATCATCATCATATTCCTCCTCCTTCTCCCCCTCCGCCTCCTCCTCCTCCTCCACCTCCTCTCCTGCGCAGGACGGCGCGCGCAGAAAAGAGCGGAGCTGCGCGCGGACACAGTTCGAATGAGAGAAAATGGCATGTCTTAATTTCTCGGAGGCCCGCGAGGATTTCTTGGACAAGCGTTGAGCGCGAAGATAACCGCGCATCGCGGGGCGCGATGCGCGAAGTTAGGTGACCCAGACTTTCAGAGCGCCGCGCGGATTTCTCGGATCTGCGCTGGGCACCCCTGGGGACGGCGCTTCCGGCGCCGCTTTTGGCGCGTTCCGCGCGCCAGGGAGGATGGTCCAGCGCCGATCCAAGAAACATCCGCGCGGACCTCCGAGAATGTATGGGTACGTAAGCCGTTTTCATTTGTTCTGACAGACCCGAACTTAGTGTGGTATGGCGATCAATAGGTGCTCCAGGAGGCCCGTCACGCAACAGCGCCCTGGGCGAGGATCGACAGATTGATTGGGTGTTCCTGGCCTGCTCGTGGGAGTCGCCGCCCATCATTGATATCCGTTGCTCGTCCTCTAAAGCCCTTCCTGGCGCTAGAAAGCTAGCTCCTCCTCCTTTTTCGTTAGACCGACATTAGGTGCGAGCCTGCTGCGTTTGTGAGGTGCAGCATGGAAAAGAAGGTACGACTCGGGCCAAAAAGGCACCTGGTGGGCGCCGCGGAAATTGAAGTAAAAAGAGACGATGGAACAGAGTAGACAATTGAGTAGGCGCCCGCCAGGTCTAAGTGCAGCTCTGGTACCGTAGTTTCCTTCCCTCCTATAATCGTGGTACGGATCATCCTCCTCCTCTAGGTACATGCTGCGATCAGTGCAAAGGTAAAAAGAAGGAGAGTGTTTTCCACCGCCACTTCTAGAATAGTAATGAGCCTCCGCTGGTAGCGGTCAATATGGACGTTGTAGATAACACTCTTTGTGAACGCTGCTTTGCTGGGGCTCATGCGTGGGCAGACTGCCCACGTATAGCCTGATGCAAAACAACAGTAAGAGTGTGTGAGGGCTGTTTCAGTGCGCTGCAAGAGGGTTGTTTGAGGCTTACTCCTAACCTGTGAAAAAGGGCGTGCATTCTTTGGGCTGCCGAACATATGGAGTAAGTACCTCCTCCAATACCACTGCGTAATAAAAGTAATAGCCTCCGCCTCCACGAATAGCAAATACCATCATTGTATCCTGGCTGTGTCTGCATGTGTAGGTGTGCAGTGGGCGCTGCTGGCTGTCGGAACACTGTGTATTGAACAGGTGACAGTCGCTGAAGTAGTGTTGCCTGTCTGTGTCCGAGGCTGCGTGTGCGATGAGATTTTGAAGGGTTACCCTTAACCTTCAAAGTAAAGAGCGTGTGATATTTAGGCTGCTACCCAGGGTGTTAGGTTAACCCCGAACCTGAGGGGGGGTACACGAGGAAGCGAATAAGGAGGAGAGAGGACAAGGGAGAATGCGAACGACTGTGCTGCTGCAATAGGGCTTTTGAGGTTCACCCCTAGCCTATGAAAAAGGGCGTGCAAAATTTGGGCTTCCACCGAGTGTTTGTGGGGTAACCCCGAACCTATGTAGTAAGTACCTCCTCCGATACCACCATGTAATAAAAGTAATAAGCCTCCGCCTCCACGAGTAGCAAAGTGTGAGTACCATTATTGCAGCCTGGCTGTTTCCGAGGCTGCATGTGTAGGTGTGCTCTGTGCGCTGCTGGCTGCCGGAACAATGTGTATGCAAAATAATGTATCCGTTGAAACAGTGCTGCCTGGCTGTGTCCGAGGTTGCGTGTGCGATGCGATGTTGAAAGTAAAGAGCGTGTAATATTTGGGCTGCTACCCAGAATGTTGTAGGTTAACCCCGAACTGGAGGGGGGTCCACGAGGAAGCGAATGAGGAGGAGGGAGGACAGAGAAGATGTATACTCGAATGATAGGGGCAATCCCTGGGCTCCCACCCAGGGTGTTGTAGGCGAACCCCCAACTTTTTATCAGTGAGTTCTACTGGCCGAAAGTCTGACCAATGTGCTTATGAGCTGGCCTTTTGATTAGGCTGGCCGTGTGGCCGGCCTGTAGTGTTACAGGCTGGCTAGGTGCAATCAAATAAAAAATGCAATCCTGGGGCTGCTACCCAGGGTTTTGCAGGTAACCCGAGACCTGCCCATGGTAATCTACCACCATCGTGTCAGAGCCGCGCGGGAAAGAGAGGAGAGGTGTATTGCACGTGTTGCTGTAATACATAAGCCTCCGCCACCACGATTAGCAACGTGAGAGTATCATACTTGCTGCCTGGCTGTGTCCGAGGCTGCATGTGTAGGTGTGTAATGTGCGCTGCTAGCTGTCGGTACAATGCGCACGTGAAAAAGGACAGTCGCTGAAGTCGTTCAAATGGTGCTGCTTGGCGGTGTCCGAGGCTGCGTGCGCACTGAGGTTTGAAGGTGAACCTTTATGTAACCTTAACAGTAAAGAGCATGCAATATTTGGGCTGCGACCCAGGTTTTTGTAGTTTAACCACAAACCTGTGGGAACGGCCCACAAGGTTGCGAATAAAGAGGAGGGAGGACAAGGGAAATGTGTACGATTGCCTGGTTCAGCAACTGGAAGAAACACTAATGAGTCTATGAGGTCTTGGTGTTGCGTAGACTGTATTGCTACCTTGCTGCTCGTATTCCTTGTGCGCTGCAACAGAGTTTTTACGATGTACCCCGAACCTGACAAACAAAACAACGAGTGCAGTCTTTGGGCTGCCATCGAGGGTTTGTAGGGTAACCCCGAACCTATGTAGTAAGCTCTTCCGATACCACCTCAATCAGAGTAGTAAGCTTCCACCTCCCTGAATCACAATGCGAGGGTACCATACGTGTTGCTTGGCTGTGTCCGAGGCTGCATGTGCTGGTGTGCACTGTGCGCTGCTGGCTGCCGGAAAATGTGTATTGAAAAGTTGACAGTCGCTGAACTAGTGCTGCCTGGCTGTGGCCGAGGCTGCGTGCGCACTGGGGTTCTGGGGTTTTGAAGGTTAACCCTTAACCTCACAAGTAAAGAGCGTGCACTGTTTGGGCTGCTACGGAGGGTGTGTAGGCTAACCCCGAACCTGAGGGGAGAGGTCCACGAGGATGCGGATAGGGAGGGTGCATGACAAGGGAGGTGTACGATAAGAAAGCAAGCAATCTTATGGCTGCTACCCAGGGTGTTGTAGGCTAACCTCCCAACCTGTTATTAGTAAGTACCACTGACTTGTGAGAAGAGCCGCGAGGAGAAAGAGGGACTGTGTATTGCAGGTCAGTGGCAATGGTATACAGACTGCTTGCTAAATGGCTGTGCTGCCGTTCAGTATGGGTCCGTATGCGGTGCTTGACCCACTAGGAGTATGTGATGTGGAAGTTGCGGTAGTCTGCCGTGTACCATGTGAAGTGGATCGGTTGTTGTGTTTGGTTCGGTTGGTTCGTCGTAGTGTTTGTCGGCTGGGACTTGGGAGCCGCCTTGTGTATCGATACCATGTGCTCGGGCGGTGGCTCCCTAAATAGTGCTCCCATTGTGTGTTCGTTGAGGCTGTTGAGGTATGTCTCGTAGCGGGCTTGGTGTCCGCGCAGTCAGTCGATGTAGTTCTGGAATGTTGGCTCACCAGTCTTGTTGATGAATCTGACACGTCGATCGAATCTGTGTGTAGGTTGTTCCCCGCGTCGAGCTGCCTTTCCATGTGCTGCAATTGCCTGTGCGGCTTGTGTTGGGAAGGAAGTGTGCCGTGTCGCTAGTGTCTGCGGTGTTAGTTGTTTCCACGGGATGGTTTGTATCCGCTATTGTGTGCCAGTGTATTCCTCGGGTGGGTCTATGATCGGTGTCATGAATGCTGGTGGTGGAGGATGTGGCGGTATGTATATGTACGACGGTGGCCATTTGATCATTGCGGTGAATGTTGGTGCAGGTGTGGGTGCCGTTGCTGTAGTGTTGCTAGTGTTAGGCGTGTTCGGCGGCTGTTGGGTTAGGTTCGCAAGTGGTGGTTTGTACGGTCGCTGGTGTGGTGCGGTCGTTTTTTTCAGTGGTCGTCATGGCATTGCGTATCGTTGGCATGGGTATGTGTGGTATCGTGTTATATGTTTGTTGCGAGTGTGGAGTGCTGTTTTGCTGCGTTGTTGCAGGTGGTGTGGACACTTTAGGTTGCAGTGGCTGCTGTGTCGTCTGGTGTTCCGTTGCTGGGTTGCTTGTTGTGTTTGTTGGATTGGTCTGTTTGTTGTCAGCAGACCAAGATGGTGGTAGGGTTGGTGCAAGTGGTTTGAGAAAGGGCTGACCTGCTGGTGTCGGTGGTTTGGTATTTGTTGGGCCATTTTGTGCTGTGCTAGTGATGTTGTCCCTGTCGTTGGAGCTGTCACTGTCGTCGCGTTTGCTGGGAGGTTGTGGCCTTGAGTCTTGTTGGTTGCAAATGAATTGTAGTAGGAGTGCTGTGTCGCGTAGTCCTACTGCCCAGTTGTACTTCATGTCGTGGTCGTCGTGGCAAGTGTTTAGCCATTGTGCTCCTCCTCCTCTTCCACCTCC